ATGCAGTTTTTGCAAAGCTATATGTGGAAGAAAACTGTGACAGTGTCACGGACCCAGTTCCAGGGATTCGGGGTCCGTGAGCAGTCTGGACCGCTATTGTAGTTTTTATTATTATTATCGTGGTTATTGTGATTATTGTTATTATGGTTGTGTCTGCTGTCCTGCTTTCCATGTTGGTGTACTGTCAGGTGTTTATGTGCATGTGTGTGTGAGGGTGCGGTCGTGGCAGGCACTTTTAGGCCTGGTGGGTGTGGCCCTGCCAGCTGACCGGTCCCACCCAGGAATCCACACACCTGGCGCCGATCAAGCCTCGTCAGAGGAGCTTCAAAACAGTGTGGCTGTAAGCTCCTCGATGCTGGATCGTTGAGTGACTTCCCGTCAGTCTTAGTTTGTTGTGCAAAGTTAGTGCAAGTCTGCTGTTAGGTGTTGTACTCACGGCTGCCTTTTATATGCGTGTTTCCTCAGGAGGAATTGTGGCGACCAGGAGGCAGCACACAGACAGTACACGGAGAACGGGGACAGAGCACGGAGCACGGGTTAAAGGAGAAGACACGGAACGGGAGTTGGGATCGCACGGGGGATTTATTGTTGTTTTGATTTTCACCTCTGTAAATAAACGCACTGCCTTCAGCGTCAAGTCCTGCATTTTGGGTCCTCATTCCTCACATCCCCACGGTCTGCCAGCCAGACCGTGACAGACAGAGGACAAGCTGATGGCATAAGATGTAAGTACAACTCCTCCGGTTTCATATGCAAAAGAAATTATTGCGCTAGCTTACGTGGTTGCAGAGCTACCGGGATTTAAAAATAGTTACGCAAAATGGAGCGTGCTGCTCTGACCAGCTTTAAAGCCTGACAAAGGTTCAGCTGTGTCTCCCTCCTGTGTTTCGTTTCCCTTTGTGTATATAAGTGTGTCTTCTGTTGGGATGACAATATTATTTTACTGTTACTATTCATAACCATTATTATTACTGTTTCATCACTTATGATTTATCATTTCATTAGAGCATTTATTGAAACTGTTGATGTTACATTAAAGTCTGTATTTCAGGTGTGAGCATAATCACATAATAATCTTTCATTGCAGGTGCAACCGTAATCATGTTATACACATATTGCATTTTTGTGCTAATTAAAGAGTTGAAGCTCGGTCAAGTTAGTTAATGGTTTGCTCCTCAAAGTACAGCTATTGAAAGGATTGCACACATGCTTACAGTACAATTTACCACATATTATACATGCTGTCCAGAGATGGAATAAAGGCCTGTGTGCCCTGTGGTATTGAAGTTTGCCTGGTAACAGATGACGCAGAGGGAGGTCATGCACTAAGGTTAAAACACAGACACACAGTCTGCCTGAATGCACAGTATTTAGAAACTGCTCGAAACTGCAAAAGTTGTTTACCTGCATACGTGTGTCATGGCCTGGGTCTGGGGACCCAGGGCTCAGGCATTTTCAGTGTATGTTTATGTTTATGTTTTCCATGTGTTGTATTGGTTTGCTCTCCCTCTCTCCATGTGTCTCTGTGTGAGCTTCCGGAGGTGTGGGTTCGCTGAGGAGACTGCGAACCCGAAAGTGGTCTACTCGAGAGACAGCCACACCTGCCGCTCGTCGTCCTCTGCCAGCTGCAGCAGATTACGCTCGTCAAGGAACGGCATTTAGGACTGCAGCTGAGCTGAGGCCGACGCTGGATCCTTGAGTCAGAACTCGTCAGTACTGCCGTGAGCTTTTACGTAACCTCCGAGGAAACAGATCCCCTGCTAACCCTCTGCCTTTTGTGTTACCAGGAATCGGGAGCGGAGTATGCCTCTAAAGTCACGGTGTGGGAATTGGAGCTTTTTGGAGTCGCCACCTTTAACTTCTCACGGACATCTGCACTGTGTGGGATTCAGGGAGAATCACCACGGGACCACAGTGCTGGGATTTTGTATATAGTTGTGTGTTTTTCACCTCCTGTAAATAAATCCACTGTCCTTCACTTAGAGTCTCGCGTTTGGGCCCTGCTTTCACTGTCACTCCACGGTCTGCCATCGCAGCCCGTGGAGTGACAGTTTAGTTCTACTAATAAGTGAAGCGCAGAAAGTGAAATAACAGGAAGCATCTAGCGGGTGGCGGAGGAACAGAGGAAGGAACTGTTCTTTTTTTAGAATATGTCCTTGGCAGAATTACTGGAACATGCATGTGTTTTTTATCTGCGTTGACGCATATTACTCGTCATCAACTATGTTATATATATGACACCCCATTTATTGTTGGGAGGAGATCGAGGCTGATGTTTTGCAGAGCTCATCTTCCCACATATATGTGTTTCAATAAAATCATTGTTTTGACGCACAATGGACCTTCAGTCGTATGTCTCTTTCCTCAAATACGAATCAGGACACTTCTCTCAGTGCTTGTTGTTGGTTCATCTGCTTTTCGTGCCCTGTGTTTCATGCTGTCTTGTTTGTTTTGTTAGTTATCCCAGTTCAGGTTGCTCGTAGTTATGTTTTGGCCATCTCCGCTTCTGTTTATGTTTTCACCTTTTGGAATAAAGCTCGCTTGCATTACAGCGTGAATGCATGATGCAATAATGAACGCATGTCGCAAACTTAACATCCAGAAATCCAGTAATGAAAGCTTCCTGGGTTCTGTTTAGAGTTCAAAAAACAAAACAAAACCAAAAGGAAAAACTGAGTTTACATACTTTTAGAAAAAAAGGACACCAAAATCTGCTGAAGTAACTTTGAGTGTTTAATCCATCCAATTGTTTTGGTTGTTAAATCTGTTCAAACAGCTAGTAAAACAATGATGTTTTCCTAACCTGCACTGTTTAGTACAGTTAAATCAAACCCTGGTCCAGTTTTCTCCTTTGGACAGTTCCTTTGTGCAGATGTTTGGGTGCAGACCAAAATAACCCCACCAAGACTCTTTGCAGGAGTTAGCTTCAGTCTAGTTCTGAATGAACACCATAACAATTTGGTTATGATGATCTAACATCAATCTGACACAACAGCCTGGTGGACCTGTAAGTTTCTGCCAACCATGTTCTTGTAGCCAGATATGTTTCACATTCTGACACGTGACAGCGAGTATCACAGACATACAGAGTACACAGCACAAACTGTAGCATCTGCCCATACGATTCTCCATTTTATCTACTAGTCCAGAATACAACACAGCACTTTTATTTCTCCCAACACAGCTGACCAGTATGTGGCCAGAAACCATAGGAAATCTCCTAGCAACCAAAGTCAATGCGATGAGGTTTACCTCTTTTCAGGCCATCCAAAAAGATGATTCTGTTTATCTGGACGTAGCGTTTTCTTCACCCCTCCAAGTGGCTTCTTCAGTCTAAGCTAACTGCAGGTTTCCCCAACCTTATAAACAGTACATTGTCATCATCCACTGGAGCACAAACTGGGCGTCATCAGGACGCTACAGCACAGAGCGAACACCATCCCCACAGACACAGCGGCCAGGGAAGCAGAAGAAGGCTGTGTGTACTCAAGACTGAGTTTGTTGAACACAATATGGATAAGATCTTGGAGAAGAACAACGGGAATTGAGAGACCTGGTGAACAGTGACGGAAATTAGACCAACTGTAAAATTGGAAGCAGTTTCTTTGCACTAACCAAAACAACTACCATCTTCATCTCATGCGGCCCCCCCAGCGCCAGCTGGATGCTCAAGACAAAAGGTGAAGGGAACAACAAAATTCTCCTTTAGATAACAAAACTGTATTGTGACTCTCTCCCCTCTCATTCAAGGCCACCCGAGTGGACCGAAAAGTGTTGGCTTTTGCCTAACCGAGTGAAGGGACACTTTATCTCGATTGAACATGGAACACACCCCCTCCGAACGCCTTTTAATGCTCATGTCTTCTGTGTTGTGAGTTTTTCCCCCTTAATAATAAACACTAGAAACTGCATTTATTTTTACTTGTGTCATCTTTATCTAATATTTAAATTTGTTTGATGATCTGAAGCAAAATGTGCAAAAAAATGAGTAAATGGTGACCAGAGTAAACGTTTTTTCACACCACTGTATACGACACAACACCAGCATCAACAGTGAAACGCAGAGAACAGAGAGACACAATCAGAGACGCGGGGAAGATAAAAATTACAACTAGCACTACAGATAAAATCAAATGTGTGAACACAAGATGTTACAAGCACTGAACTCATCAACATATTGTAAAAAGAACCAGAGACTCAGTATCATGAAAACTGGATGAAAATACAATAAACACAAAAATTAAGATTAATAACAATGAAAACAACTAAATAGAAACGATCTGAATGCACACATGCAGGCAATGTTGATTCTGTTCTTTTGGACGCAGCGTTTGGAGTGAGAGAACTGCTTCACCGCTCATCCAGGACACTTCTTCAGCCTCCGAAAGTGTGACGTCCAGATGAATAGAACTAACTTTCCAGCTCGAAACAGAATCTCAAACTTGAAAATATTAAATACGTTTTCCAAAGTCAAAAACACGACTAATACCCGAAATGAGAAACTCTGAAATAAAATCTTTCTTTTTTCTGTTCGTAAAATCATCGGTCTGGGCTTCACATCACAAACGAGTCGCTAAAAACAGCTGTTCCACTTAAAATGTTTGATGTTTAACTTCATGTAGCATCAACTCTGACACCTTTTAAACTGATATAGTCACAAACATTAGACAGTAAAAAATCCCAACAATTTTGAAAAGAACAAAGAATGAAAACTCTTCACAGGCTACTCTTGACTTTTCGAGCTTCCTTCTTTGTTTGCTTCTCATCCTTGTAGAAAACCTCCCCACCTGACTGCGTCCTCCAGCTCAGGCTGATGTCTCCATCGACTCTCTGGTCCTTCAGCTTCTGTTTAAGCTGCAACACAAAACACATGTTTGCCTGAATGTCACTCAGAAAAACGTCTCCAGCTATATCCTGCATATTTTACTCGGCTGATTTGAAGGGATCATATTAATTAGAATTTAAATATAATTTACACTGAATATACTGCTGTCTTTTTGTGGGCAGTGACATCACAGGCACATGAATCACTTCACTGGAGGGCGATTTGAGGCATGCACTGTGTTCAGCACACACCCCACACAGTTTGGCTGAGCAATCAAGGTGGAAAACTCCTGTAGGTGGCACCAGTGGAGCAATAGATATCCATGTCATACTGCATCTGTGTGCCAGGAGCAGGGAGGAAAGCCCTCCACAGGGTTATTACCACCACTCAATGCGCTCTACCCGCCCACGCAGACTATTGTCCTTCCCACCCTGAACCTCTGCCAAACTTCTCAGGACATTAAACACAAAGATAAATAGATTAAAAATGACAGTAGTTATAGCTTTTGGTTAAAAACTAAGTGCTGGTGGAAGTTTGCAGTTGTTTAAATAAAGAGTGCATGCAACAAATGTCCATGTGAAATGTGTTGTGTTATCTTTGTTTGTTTTTTCAATAGAATATTTACTGGTTACTTGTATGTTTGAGCTGGTTTTTCAAAGTTTTTCACTTTGTCGATCATAAAACTGGTTTTGGACATTTTTCAGTTGGGTGTCTACACCACATGTGTAGTTGTAGTTTTGTTTCCAAAATTCAAAACCCAACAGAGTGCTGAAAAAGATGAAAAGGAAACACAAAGTAAAAATCTAAGTGATCTGCCTGTTTCAGCACGTCTTCCATCACAGCAGGGTCACTCAGGTCCACACTGGAGTTTTTCACCAGCCCCAGTCTCACTACATGCTTGCTGCGAGCACGTACTTCTGTAAATGAAAGAAAATAATGGTTAGGGTTAGCCGAAGAGGAGCAGAGAGCACACGCTGAAAGGTGTTATCATCTCCAAACTGTACAAAAGTGGGCATGAAACTCTACATGCACAAAGCCTAATTTACATCATGGAGCCCTGCTCCCCAAAGATGACATAGATGTAACACCGTGAAGCTGGGTTGTAGAAATAAGTAGTTAAAGCTTTAAAACATGTTTAATGCCCTTTTCTGTCAGCACAGGACCTGACATTACCAGGTTAGCTGGTCACTGCTAAAAGTCTTACATTAGTTTATATTAGCTAACTAATAGTAACAGGAAAAGTCTTTTGCTTGTCCCAATTAGTTTTATGTAAAGAACCGAGGATAAACTGCCCACTTTCACTCTGTTTCATAAGCAGTCAGTGGGGTTTTTTTGTCGTTTGGCTAGCTGCACTGAAACTGGAGATCCAGCTGTTAGCTGCAATGTTCGGGTTTGCAAAGCACTTTATGAATGAGGACTGTGTGGAGGAGAGCCTCGGAGCCAGTTTACAACAGCACAGGTTACTACATGCACATCACACCACAGACATAACTGTGTTTCTTGTTCTTTAGTTAGCTAAAGTAAACTAATGCAAATCTACTGACTGCAACCAAACAGCCAACCTGTGATGTCACGTTACGTACTGACAGAAGATGGTGCTAGACATGGTTTTAACTTTATGCAGCTGAGCGACAGTTGAATCTGTGTCAGTGTTTGATAGATAGATAGATAGATAGATAGATAGATAGATAGATAGATAGATAGATAGATAGATAGATAGATAGATAGATAGATTCATGCACACTTTAAAGGTTTCACTTCCTGGTATTTTGTTACATTTTTCAATGCAGCCTCCAGAACAGTTACTGTACAGGTTTGTCATTTTTGCACAAACAGGCACAACAGCACTGCCCTGTCTCTGCAAAGTCGAGCTAAATGACAATACTGACGGGATAGCATAGGCTAGCTTACCACTGTAGCAAACAAATGCTCTCTTATAATCACAGTTCCAATCTTCCCATTTTCCTTCCTTTTCAAAGTATGCTGCCACACACATCTCCTTGTGAAAATTGTTGTTTGGTTCTTTTGTATCCCAGTATCTAAACGAGGAGCTGGATCCATCTATCCACTTCCAGGAGTCTCTGAAAAGGCCGATCCAGGCTTTTTTTCCTTTGGGTATCAGCTCCTTTATCTGCTGGTTCTCTGACATGTTTCTCACACTGGCCAGGTCGGTGTAATTAGCTCTGCAGAAGCTCTGGGCGTCCGTCCATGTCATCATGTTTTTGATGAAGACAAATGTCACATCTGACTCTGAAAAAGATAGAAATAATAAACATGAAGGTAAATAGAAGCAGAGTCAGGAAAGAAATCACAGAAAAACCCTGTATTTTTGAATGGTTCTGTATTATTTAAAGTCCTCACCTGCGATGTAAATGCAGACTACATTACAGACGGCATCACAGTCTCTGTCATTCCATACCCCGCTGTCAAACATCTCTGCACAACATTCAGTGCCTCTATAGTTATTCGGTTCCTCAGGTGACCAATTTCTGAGCTCAGGTTCTCCATCTTTGTAGAAACCCGTGTCGTCCATCGACCACCTCCAGCTGTTCACGTCGTTGTACAAGCCGATCCAGGCTCGCTGTGTTTCATGTGTTTCATTGGGCAAAGGTGTGACATAAAGAACATGAACTCAACTGTTGGCCCAATAATACAAAGTAAATTTTAGCTCTAAGGACTTAAAAGGTTTAAAATGTACGAACAAAAAGTATTTTTCTCACACACGAAATACAGAATTTTACTTTACAGGCACCTTCTGATTTTCACATTACAAATTTCATGTGGATACCTTGAGCCTCATCTGCATCTTATATAATTATTAAAAACGATGTTAAGGAGAAAAGAAAATTTTATTTACATTGCTGTATTCTGAGTATTTCATTTTTTCCAAGTCTGCCATGTTGTTCAGAGTCTTCACATCCTCCATGCTTTCTATTGCAGCCAGGTCTGTGTAATACTGTCTGCAGTGCTGCTGTGCTTCAGTCCAGTTCTTCTGCTCATAAACAAAATGGTACTGACGCTGAGCACTTGAGGAAACAGCCCACAGCCCTGACACAGATGTGAATATTAATTACATAGTGAAAAACAAGCAAAACAAGTCTCTCATCCAGTCTGCTGGGTCGTGTTGGCTATTTAATCAGTACACTGATTAAAGAATGGTGTGTAGTTAAAATATTATTTATAGTTGTGAAAGTCACCAGATGAAAAATAATAATAAAGCTATTTATTTATTGTTAACTAATATTAAGAAAAATAGATTAAAATACTTGCCTGAAACCACTTTGATGAACAGAAGAAACTTTTCCATCCTCGTCTGTTGCCTGTTTCATGTATGACGGTAAACATGGAGCTGCAAAGTAATAAGGAGGAAATAATTTGGATCAGATTTGCATGTCATAAAGGGGTAAATGAACTCAGTCATGCCTCAGTCGTTATTTAAATGGAGAGAAGGGGGGGGGCAGTTTCAATAGTAACCAGAAATTAAAAATGTGAAATTCCAGGTGGAAATTTAAGATGATATAGAAAATAAAATGTGTATGTTGCATGTTCTAGTTTTATATTGGTCGTCTTTTTTACATGTGACTTCGAGCTTATGTCCCAGTGGCAGCTGGGTCACAAACTGGGCTTAACATGACTGTGTAGCATTAAGAATTTATACCCAACAGCCTGTGCTGTTCATGTTCTAGAACAAGATCTTCATGAAAACATCACTTTCTCTTGGGTCTTGATTAGAGTGAAGACTTAACACTGGTTAGGCTCCAGGGGACTTTCTGCTTGTTGTAAAGCATTCTTGAGTTTGGGAATGGATGGCCTGGAGGACGTGTTACTATCCATCCATCCATCTTCATCCGCTTTATCCGAGGCCGTGTCGTGGGGGCAGCAGCCTAAGCAAAGAGGCCCAGACCCCCCTCTCCCCAGCCACCTCCTCCAGCTTATCAGGGGGAACACCAAGGCGTTCCCAGGCCAGCCGAGAGATATAATCTCTCCAGCGTGTCCTGGGTCTGCCCCGGGGCCTCCTCCCATGTTACTATGTAAATAAAAAGATGCAGCACCGGTGCTCACACGTTTACTTTAATCTTAAATTATGTGTGTTGTAGCAGAGATCTGGCGAGGGAGGAGTGGCTAGCATGTGTCCAGACTGGAAGTTAACTGGATAACTCAGAGGCTAAGCCGGTGAGGAGAACACCAGGTCTTTATTGGCACGACCCATTCCTATCTCTCAGACAGAACTTTTATAATGAGTATGAATACATGCTCCTCTAAGATCCATAGAGTGACATGTGGTGTGCCTCAAGGGTCGGTTTTAGGCCCTGTACTTTTTAATTTGTATATGCTGCCTCTCGGCAGTGTCATCAGGAGGCATGGAGTGAACTTCCACAGTTACGCTGATGACACGCAGCTGTACATCTCCGTGTCTCCTGATGACACCAGACCAATGGATGCCCTCTTTAACTGTATCTTGGATATAAGATCTTGGATGGCAGAAAACTTTTTACAGCTTAACCAGGACAAAACTGAAGTTTTAATTGTCGGTCCCGAGGCTCAGAGAGAGAAACTCTTGTCTAAATTAGAGGCATTTTCACTATGTCCTTCGTTACAAGTGAAAAACCTGGGTGTTATTTTTGACTCTGAGCTTGGTTTTATCCCACATGTTAAACATGTAACCAAAATTGGATTTTATCATCTAAAAAATATAGCCAGAGTCGCCCTATTCTCTCTCGGGCCAACACGGAGATGCTGATGCATGCTTTTATTACCAGTCGCATTGATTACTGCCCTGCTCTCTGGTCTTCCTAAGAAGAATATTTCAACTTTACAACTTTTGCAAAACTCGGCAGCTCGTGTGCTGACGAAGACCAGAGGGCGGGCCCACATTACACCGGTTTTAGAATCACTGCACTGGCTCCCCGTGTGTTTCAGGATCGATTTTAAAGTTCTTTTATTGGTTTTTAAATGTCTTAATGGTCTTGGGCCTTCTTATCTCTCAGATCTGCTTTTACCATACGAACCCTCGCGGACCCTGAGGTCCTCTGGTACTGGCCTTTTGATTGTCCCTAAAGTCAGGACACATACTCACGGAGAGGCAGCTTTTCAGTGGTATGGTCCTCGTCTGTGGAACAGCCTGCCGGAGGAGCTCAGGGCCGCAGAGAACGTACATGTTTTTAAGAACAGGCTCAAGACCACCTTTTTAATTTAGCTTTTACTTAGCGTTTATTTATTTTATGCTTATTTATTCTATCCTGTTATTCTATTATTAATTTAGGATTTACCTAATATTTATTGATTTTATTCTTATTCATTTTTTAATCTTCTTACTCTATTTATATTTATATTTATATTGTATCCTGTTCTTATTTATTTTATCATTTTACCCTGTATATATCGTATTGCATCATATCTCCAGTGTTTCCTCGGAGGGCGCTCTCTGCACCGGGGCTGTGATTGACCGTGGCTGCTGGGTCTCTGGGGGTCCTCTCAGCCTGGCTGGGGGGCTCCTTTGCCTCCCTCCTGCTGTGTGCCCAGCCTGGAGGCTGCGGTCTGTGACCGGCTCCCGGTGCAGACGGCTCCCTGTTATAGTGTTTCCTCACTTGGCTCATGCGAGTCCAGCCCAATTTTTACTCTTTAAGTGTGCGCGTGTGTGTATGTGTGTGTGGGTGGGGGTGGGGGGATATATGTGTATTGAGAGTGTGGGGAGTGAGTTGGAGGGTGGGGTGGGCTGCTTTTAACAATGTAAAGCACTTTGTGCTACATTTTCTCTGTATGAAAAGTGCTTTATAAATAAAGATTGATTGATTGATTGATAAGATGTCATCTGTGCACAATGTTCTTCTTCTGCTGTCTGGTTTTCCACCTTTCCAATTTCTGAACTCAGCGTCACTATTTTCATAAGCAGCTGTAAACCTACAGCTGTTTACATCATCATACAGTCCAGTCCAGGATCGCAGCCAGCAGGTGAAACTTGGATCATACTCTCATGAGCCTGTCCTGTCAGTGATTACTCCATGTGTCCAATGAAGACGTGAAGTGTACGAGCATTTGAACAGCCAGTGTCAAAAATATGTTTCAGTTAAACAGAGAGAGTGAATTCACATCGCTGTCTGTTATCAGATTTGCTCAAGTCCACCATGTCAGAGTCTTCACATCCTCCATGTTTTCTATGGTGGCCAGCTCCAATGCAGCGGCGATGAACAGAACAAGTTTCTCCATCCTTGTTTGTTCTGCTCGTATCTGTCACTGCACACACTCAGATAATAAAATAACTCAGGAGGTTATACATGAACACGTTAATGTTTACATCATGCAAAGTTATTAAAAGGAGAATATTTGCTTGTGAGGTTATTTCGTGTCATATAACTGATACTGTTGGCTGGATGATGTAACCGTGGAGCTTTACTGATGCTGTTGGGATGTGATGAAGTTTCCTGAATGAACATAAAGGAAATGTGTAAGGAGTGATCATAAGGCAGCGATGTCTGTATGTGGATACCTGCGGCCAGCTCCATCACAAAGCTGCACATTCAGTGTCATTTAAGAGAAACAGGAGAGAGCAGCGTCAGACTGCCAGCAGCTGAAAGATCAATGTTTGAATTTTGTTCTTGTTTTCACATATGGCAAATTTTATATTACTGTAAGTAATTCTCTCCTTCAGCTGCATAAATGAACTAAAGTGGCTGTTGATGTAATTAAGGCCCCAGATGGTCGACATCAATTTAATCTTTTTTTAACTGATACTAGTAAGAGGAGACGTTACAGTTATAGGTCATAATTCTGGGCTCTTGGGAAAATTAACCCCAAAAACCAAAAGTTTTGACCAAAACCACCTTTGCCATAGAGTAGGCTGAAAATTAATATCCAGCAAGCATCATCCAACCATCCAGCGCCCAGGTGTGGTGAGGAGCTATGGAAGGATTATCTCCAGTGCGAGGCCAGGTAAAGACACCTGTGGCCTGTGATGAGATGAAAACTTCCCATGCCAAGGCTGTATGGAGGAAACACTCACACCTCTCTGCAACTTTCCCCAGACACCTCCACATTTCCACCTTTTCCTAGCCTGTCTGCTTTGGTGAGGGACAAACCTGACAGACACACTCTGCAGAAGGTCAAATAAACAAGGGTTGACACCCACTGTGTGGAGCAGGGTGCGTGCTATATTATAGATTACACATCAGAGGAGAACTAGAACAGCGACACAGAAGGCCGAGCAGACAAAACACTGGACCCACCGAAAGGTGAAGCAATCCCATCCTCCTGCTTTAAAGGAAAGCAGGTTCCATACACTTTTGTGACAACAATCAAAATTCATCAAAAAATTTTCTCCCATTCTTTGTTTTCCTTTTATTTATCAGCACAGGTTATGCTGCTGTCACACGTACAGTTACTCAATGTTACCAGGTCAGTCCAGCAAGCCAACTTTCTGAATCGATCCTCATCCCATCATGAAGCTGATGGATGCAAAGAAACTGAAAGTAATATTTATCACATTTCACGGGATCCACACAAGGATTTAATGAAAAAACGACTAAAGAGGCAAAAAATAATGAAAACAGATGAGGATAGCAGGTAAACAAAATCAAATGAAAACAGCACAAAACTCCACAATAGTTGAAACAGTTAAGATCAGTAAAAGAATCAAAAGATAAAAGGGACAAATCCTCAGCCAAAGACACTCGTGACAGGCTTAAACTGAAAGTGAGCCTTTATTACAGCAAAGCAAAATACAGACAAAAGCAAATGACAATGACGAAACTAGCAAAACCTAAACTGGAAGAAACCTAAAAACAAGCACAAAGAAACTAAAGACCTGAGACATGGAACAAGGCGTCGCGATCCTGGCTCTTTTGATGTTTATGGTTTATGTTTAAGTTCATTAGGTTATCTAACTTCATTTGTTTATTAGTTTCCCCTTGTGTTTTCAACCCCTGTTAAGTCTCCCTCGTCCTTCATGTGTTTCATTTCTGTGTTTCATTATGTTTCCTATTTTATTTTGAAAGAGGTCCTGTGTTGTGTTCTGTTTTACTCTTCCCCTGTGGCGTCGTTATGTTCATGTTGTGTCTGCTGTGCCTTTCTGTCCCATGTTTCAGGTCCCTATGTTCTGTCTCCCCAGTCTGTTAAGTTTACATGTCTTGAGTTCAGTCAGTGTGTTTCCTGTTTTCACAGTCTGTCCTTTGTTAATGTTTCTAGTTTTGCTTCCTTTGTCTCGTCCTGCCTAATTACTCCCAGCTGTGCTCTCCTCCTGTGGCTCATCCCCCCTCGCTATCCCCGTTATTCTCCCTGTGTTTCCAAGTATGATTTATTATTAGTTTTCCCAGTTTAGTT